CAGGATCGGATCACTGAAAAAACAATAAATTGGGTAGTTAAGATACACCCTAAATCCAATATTGCATAGATCGAGGTATATAACTAAATTGGAGGTGTAATAGTGATACAATCTAGATATGGGATATTAAAGACTTCAAATCCAATAGTGGATATGTCTTTTATAGTAAAGGTGTAGTTCTATATTCTTAATATAACTCAAAGTTAAAAACTTTGAATAAATCAAATAGGGGAGTCAATAGACTTCACCTAGAGGAAAATTCAAAGTAAGTCTACACCTGTGCCACTAAAGAAAATGATATTGCTAACAATAAGCAATTTTAGGGCACAAAGTATACAGTTGCTCTCACCTGGAGAAATCTCTGCAGAGTGTAATATTTCTAAACACAACCTTGTGGCCACATATAAAATTGAAGGTTGTACTAGAGAACAATTGTACAGTTCATCGAGGGGAATGGGGTTTAAAGCCGAAAGCTAACGAGTTACCTTAATGGAAACCCAACCTAGCTGACTGGAGATCCCAAGATCTAGGTTCAAAGGGACAACAGAAATTCTGAGTGACTCACCAGAAGCACTGGGAAGATATAAATCTTCTACCCATTTCTATGATGAGACAGTGCTACCTACAACGATGATCAGGATAAGTTACGCTTTTAATGACTCTTATACTTTGAAAATTCAAGTGGGGTTTGGTAGGATACTCTTAATAAGAAGTCACCTATATAAGTGTGAAGTGGGGCCGTTTCTATGAGAACTATAAAGGCTAAGTTTTTTAGAGCACTCATTGAATACCAGGACTTGTTCAGGGCCAAAATGAACACAACAATGAGAACCAACTTTGTGAGGAAAGCTACTGTGTGTTTGTTATTGTCTTGGTTTACACAAACGGTTGAACAGTTCAAGACATTGCGTTCACTGGTTAGCCAGTAAATCCGATAGCAATACACTAGGGAAGGTTCAAAGCCAAAAGCCACCTATCCTGATGCTGTAACTTTTCGACTATACTCTCTCTAGTGTCTGCATGATCATCTTTTGCATTTTACACGAATTTCCATTCATGTGGGGGATTGTTGAAAACGGGGGCATTAAAAACATAAACTTTGGATGAGATTTGAAATAGATTCCGCTAATAATTTTTTACGAATTTCTAGACAAACGCGTTTCTCTCCGCAAGGAGATGAACGTGATATATTTACTTTCTGAAATTCGTTTCCGGATGAATGAGAAATTAGCTCCAAAGTGTGGTGTTTTGATAAGCCTAAATGGGTATGCAAAATGTGAGAAGTGTTTGTCCCACATGGAAAAAATGTTGAAACAAATTGAAATTTAAATAAGCTGAGTTTAGGATTTGGGCTTGGGCTTGGCCCTAATTGTAAAGTCCAAATTATTCTTTTTTGGAATTTTAGATTGGGCCTAATTTTGGGCTGGGCTTATTTAAATGGGTTTCACAAATGAGTGAGTTTTTTGGGTGGTTGGTTTTTTGAATTAAAAAAACTACTTTTTAGTTTTTCTAAAAGGTTACACCTTTTAAATTAAAAAACCATATTTTAGTTTTTTTAAAGGGTTACACCTTTTAAATTAAAAAACCACTTTTTAGTTTTTTCAAAGGGTTACACCTTTTTCCGAACCATCATGACCCATGGTTGCACCCACTCAAAAAGGCACATTGCAACCTATTGGAATGGATGTGTCTATTGGTGAACAGACATCACGTGAACCATTGCAATCTATTGGAATAAATGTGTCTAGTGGTGAACAGACACCATGTGAACTATTGCAACCTATTGCAATTGTTGTGTCCAATAATGAAGAGATACACCTCATCCGAAAAGACATTTCTGTTTCTATAAATACCCCCCTTTGGATCATTTGCAAATTGTTCATTTTCATTTTCTTCTATCTCCCTCTCTAGACTTGAACCCAACCCAAGTGGGTTCAAACCATAGGTTAAGTGGTCCGAACCACTTAGACCCTAATCCAATTTCATCGAGCCATATTAAGATTGGTCCGAACCACTTGATTCAAATTGCACCCAATTCAGCATTTATATAGCATAGATGCATTTTTAAGTCAGAGAGAGTATTACACAGAGAAGGTTCGCCGTATGCACGAGTTTGTAGTGCTGCTACTGGTGGATGTAAACCGTTGTATCCTAGGAGATAGACGCCACTGAGTCCGTTAGCACCATAGCGGGGCGAATCTGTCTTAAGGACATAGTATCCAATACTAACCTCGGTCCAGGTTCATTCCTTGCATATTATTATTATTTTATTGCTTTATTTTGCATATTTAATTAAATATAGAGTTGCATATTTAATTAATGATTTATTAGCATATTGTTAATTATCTCATGACATATTAGTATAAGGATTATTATATCTTAAAAGTCACATTAAGCATATATTTTTCTAACATTGTGCACCCGTAACTCGCCCAGTGTGATAACCTGCCAGTGTCTCGCACCCACCCAAGGCACACCCGCCCACAGTGTCATCACAATCCATCCCCTTTGGAGGCCCGACGTTCCCGTCGGCACACTTCCGGCTGGGTTAGCTCTCATACCATTTATAACAGCCCACTCCACCACATGATATAAGCACATCACCTTTTTCTCACTCAAACGATGTGGGATTGTGCACCCGTAACTCGCTCAATGTGGTAGCCTGTCAGTGCCTCGCACCTGCCTACAGGGTCATCGCAATCCACCCCTCTTGGAGGCCCGACGTCTCCGTCGGCACACTTCCGGCTGGGTCAGCTCTGATACCATTTGTAGTGACCCATTCCATCACATGGTATAATATTATTCGCTTTGGACCTGAGCTTGCACGGTTTTGTTTTTGGACTTTACCTCAAAAGGCCTCATACCAATTGGAAATAACACCACCACATATGAGCACATTACCTATCCCTTACCCAGACGATGTGGGATTGTGCACTCGTAATTCGCGTAATGCGATAGCCCGTTAGTGCCTTGCGCCCGCCCACGGCACACCCACCTATAGGGTCATCACAGAAATGGTTAAAGACTTAATAAATAAATAGAGGTGGAGTTGGCTAGAAAAGGCAAAGAAGAAAATTGGTTGAAGGAGTGAGTATTGTGAAGAAAGGAAACGAGTGTGTAGAGATATAGTTCTTTCTCCGTGAACGTAGGCTTAAAAGTTGGTTGAACCACGTAAAAAAAAAAAAAAAAAAAAATAAATAAATAATGTTGTTTGCTTAATTGTATATGATTGTATCTCCATATTATGTATGATTGATCTGATGGTGATATGCTTACATTTTACTTAAATGAAAGAGGAATTTAATTTCCGACAACTGGCATCAAACCTGGGAGCTGATATTCCTGACAACTCACTGACTCGTCATCTTTACCCACAAACTCACCCATATGTATGAGGCTACACTTACTCTTGTCTCATCTCACTCTTATATTCTCTTTTCTTCTCTATTCTCTCAACGCATCTTCATCTCTATCTATAGAGCTTTTAACCCATTGCTAGGTGAACAAGTAACACAAATCCTTATTGGGTGAGGAAGACAACTACTTGAGGCTCAAATAATAACTTTGGGCCCATGTTAACAGAACATTTTCAAATAACTATAAATCAAAGCCCAACTCAATAAGAATTTGAGGCCTACATAACAAAAACTATTTAGAATAATTAATTGAATATACTTTTATAATTATATTTTCATATTATTACTTACTTGGAGCCCAAAATGAAATTTTCTGGTTGCTCTCTCCAGGTTCGGCTGCGTGAAAAAAGAAAAAAGTTATACATGATGATTACTTTAGAACATTATTGAAGCATAGAAGATATTTCACAAATCCTATATATACATCAATGGGAATATACTGTAAAGAGAACTATATATCAAACAGACATATATTTTTTATAATTTGATTTCATATTATTACTTACGTGGACCCACAGATGAAATTTTCAGGTCCTTCCCTCGATGTGGTAGTAATGCTACTGCTCCAAAAAAAAAAAAAAAAAAAAAAAAAAAAAAAAAAGAAAAAAAGAAGAAGCGCAAAAATTGTATATCATGATTATTAGAGAACATTATAAAAGAAATTGATGATGTTTCACAAATCCTATATATAAATCAATGAGAATATATATAGAGAGATTTATCATATATATATATATATATATGTATGTATGATGCAAGACATAATTTTAGTCAGTTCGAGGCTCTGTTTTAGAACTAAATGAGTGTTTTTAGGTAGAAATTGCCCATTGAGAAAAATTAATTAACTTTAGTTAATGGGTGTGACATAATTTTTCAAGTGAAAATCTTCGTTTATGGCTCTAAAAATATATATTTTTAGTCGAAGGGTGCAAAATATTTTATTTTTAGTTTCCTGGTGTTTGTATGTTTCTTTCTCATCGATTAAAAATATGCATTGTACTCAAAAGTAATGAACCATTCAACCATCTCTACAATATCGATATTCTCTTCCCACTTTGTTTCATATGGTTGAACCTTAACCTTCTATTTTTGAGGACGAGGAAGTTTCACTAAGGGCCTGTTTGGTTTACGTTTTGTTTTTACGTTCTCGTTTTAATTTGAAACAAAACAAGTGTTTCGTTCTTTGATGTTTTGAATAATAATTAGAAGCATGTTTGGTAATGTCTATTTGTTGTAAAAAAAATTTAAACAAAAACATAAAAATATGTTTGGTAAAAAAATATTGTAAGCTTGAAAAATATTATGGTTAGTTTAAAAAAATTATTTAAGAGATCTTTAATCTGTTTATTTATTATTGTTCATCGCTACCACACATATTGCTATAGTACAAAAATATGTAAAAACAGCAAACGACATTTCGGCACTGTGCAAAACAAAACATTTCTTACCAAACCCATTTTTTTTTCACTTCAATTTTTTTTTTTAATCATTATTCACTGCTACAGTACCTGGCAAAAATAAAAATAAAAATACAAAAAATAAAAAGCAAAGCGCATAAACCAAACCCGCCTTAAGCTAGTAGAACTTAAATTAGGCAGTATACCGAAAGTTGTAGCCTAATACTAAATATTCACATTTTAAACAAGAAGTTGAGAATTTATTAAAATTAATTTATTCAACTAAAACCAATATAGGAAAAAATATAATTAAATAAAAAAGTATTAAAACAAAAATAAAAAATCAAGGTTATGCATGCGAGAAAGCCTGTACCCACCATCACAAAAAAAAAAAAATAATAAAAAAAAAAAAATAATAATAATAATAATAATAAAATAAATAATAATAAAATAAATCTAATGATAGTCATGAGTATTGTCAATCTTCACTTTTTTCTTTTTTCTTTTTTTCTAAAAAAAATTATTATTCACTGTTATAGTACCTGACAAAAATAAAAATACGAAAATAAAAAGCAAAACGCATACACCAAACCAGCCTTAAGTAGTAGAACTTAATTTAGGTAGTATACCGAAAGTTGTAGCCTAATATTAAATATACTAAATATTCACATTTTAAACAAGTAGTTGAGAGTTTATTAATATTAATTTATTCAACTAATACCAATGTAGGAAAAAATATAATTAAAAAAAAATTAAAACAAAAATAAAAAATCAAGGTTATGCATGCGAGAAAGCCTGTACCAACCATCACAAAAAAAATAATAATAATAATAAAAAAATAAAATAAAAATAAAATAAAATTACCCAGCCTAATGGCAGCCATGAGTATTGTAAACTTTCGCCTAATTAAACATGAATGATGTGATTGATTGTGGACTTATTGGGGGCAGCAGGCTTTCCCATTCCGTTTCAGTTGTAAAAATTAAGATGTATGCAATTAATTAAGGAGAGCAGGTCAAAGTAATAGGAAATTAAGAAAAGAAAAGAAAGAGAAAATAAACAAATAAAGAGAGGATTATTATTTTTTTATTCGGTAACTAACTATATAAAGAAAAATTAATTAAGTATATGAAGATGTATTTACAGTAATATATCAATCTTTTAAAATATCCCGGTGGAGAGAATACAGACACCATGTCTGCCATTGTATACAAGCCATCTTTAAAATCCATCGGTCCTGATCCCCACTTCAAGATATCCCCAATATCATTTGCCTCCTCTATGAGTTCATGTATCAATAAGACAGAGAGATTTCATTAGGTATTAAATACATATATTTATATTACTATATAAATTAATGAATTTTGCAGCTGGAGATAAGTATGCTCTCCAGCCCTCTATTTTATCAAGGGTGGAGATTGGACAAGTAAGTGAGCCTCACCTACAATTGTCCACTCTCAGGTGTTTTGTATATTGCGTGTGTGTGTGTATATATATATATTACATACCAAATATCTCGCAGTTAATAAATTCGCTGAACATACTCCAATTTGGAAAATTACCTGAAAGTCAACCAAACAATTTAGTTAATTATAGAGAGGGCACACACAATTAATAGTTTGTATATATATATATATATATGTGTGTGTGTGTGTATATACGCACTTGTATCTAGTGGCCAAAGTATTCTTGAACAATTAACTAAACTAACTAACAAGTCCCAGTTATGGTAAATTGCAGAGAGGTTGAATGGCAATTCTTCATCCGCATCTGGATTTCCCGATAATGATACAATCCACTCGGGGTTATCGTTAACTAATGCTTCTGATATTGTTGTGTTTGCAGCTCTGGCGGCAATATGAAGTGGTGTGTCACCGTAACCATCTTTGACAAACAGCTTTCCAGCCTTTTCATCACCAGAAAGATCACTGATTGTCTCCATCCTTTTTAAAAGCTCTTCCACCAACTTCACGTTCCCGTGCGAAATGGCAATGTGCATAGACGTCTCCCCTATTGTGGAAACCCTAGCGTATGCTGCAGCTGGATCTTTATCCAGAAACGCTTTCACTTTTTCCAACTCACCCTTCACCAACCCCATGTATAGGGGTATATATTTAATTATATCATAATCATCATCATATTTAATCTCTCTTTCATCCCCAATTGTAATTGCTACATCTGGTGGTGCTGATGGCCTTAACCTGCATATATATGCACATTTAATTAATATATGTATCATCAGAATCAATAATGCATTTCAAAAGTCCTGCAGGTCGAAATTAAGTCACTTACCGCAAATTGTTTGGCTTCATCTTTTACATGCACTAGTCTGTTTGATGGAGTACGTATTCTGATAATGCAAACATAATCGGTTTACGTCCAACACTTGCCTTTTATTGTAAAATATATTATTCCTTCCTCCTCCTCTAGGCAAATAAAAAGGTTATTCTTCATACAGTGTTGTTGTTGTTTTTTTTTTTTTTTTTGTGTGTGTGTGTTTATGTAAAATTATTAATTCTTGTCACAGTTGATTCTGTCACTTTTTATTCCTCTTAATGTCGGATTTTGATGCTAGAATTAACTATAATTATTTCACGGGCAATGATCCTTTACAGTACAACACTCCGGTTGGATATTGAATGGCCATAATTACATCACATAATAATGAGTAATGATAAGAGAACAAAAAGGGAATCCCCCAATTAAATATCGAATTTGACTGTTAAATAATTATTTTTTGGAAACTGTTTAAATAGATGAGGTGGACAAAAATATGTCAGATTCAGTGCTTATTTGGGATTAATTCTTCGATTTTCCTATATTATTCCATAATAATTCTTTACTTTTATTGATAAACTCCTTTTTCACAAGTATAATGCTTTACTTAACACAACCTATGATGTTGATACCCGCTTTTGTTATACATGAGGTTTAGATTTCTGTTTAGTTGTAGTGACGAGGATGTCCTCAACAAACTCCCGCACTCATTATAGTATTTTTTTTAAATAATCGAAATACATTGTTATGTACATCAGTACGTATTTTTCTCCCGGTAATTTGTACATCACAATGTTGTTAGAGTAGTCAATCTATATTTCTTATATGAAAAAAAGAAATTTGTTATTTGTTATTGGTAAGAAATTAGTGGTGTTCATGATCAAAGGTTAACGTAACGAGCCCCACCTTGGAGTTCCTCAAATTTCAAGCTTCACCTTTGAGGGAAAAAAAAAAAAAGCCTTCATTGCTCTTAAATATATGTACACTATGTGCCAATCAATGTCAATATATATATAAACTATTATTAAAAGTATTATTTTTTTAATAATATAAATATTCTTTTTCCTAATTCTATTCTATTTCTACCTCTTAAGAGTTGATATTAAACACCAATTCTTCTTTTCATTAATTTAAAACTCTTTAATTTTATTTTATTCAAAAATCCATATCTATATATATATATATATATATATATATATATATATTATTAATATATATATAGCTATAGATATATTAATAATATACTGAAACTTTTTTGTACTATTATTAAAAGTACAAAAAAGTTTCAGTATATTATTTATTTATTTATATTTATATAATACATTTTTAATAATAAATATTCCAATAAAATCCTAAACTCTCCAATTACTCCTAAGAATATACGAAATTATTTTTATATTTAATTTTTTATAATGCACTTAGAATTTTGTATAGTGTTATTTATTTTAATATATAATATATGTTTATATATAACCAATAAATAATGATGCAAAATTATTCTTATATATGTTTTTTTATCCTTTATAATTCTTTTTATTTTATGCATTTCCACTCAAGTGCAATGGACCTGCATTTTACTAATATACTTAAATATCTATATTTATACTATTATTAAAACTATTATTAAAAGTACAAACAGTTTCAATATATTATTTATAATACATATTTAATGATATAAATTTACATTTTCTATTCTATTATCTTTATAACTCTTTCCTAAATATGAATTTACCTTTTTTCTAATTATATTGTCTTTCTAACTCTTTTTGTTGATGCAAATTTCTCCGAAGACGGGGATCTTTCCTGCAATAAAAGAAAAGTGACGTTCGACATGGTGTGAGCCGTGTGCACTCCAACAATCAGGTTAGTACTTAAAAATAAAGAGGAGAAGAAAATACACTTCCATGGAGAATTGTCCCGTGCCATTTGAGTTACCAACCTCTCCTTTTTATGTGAGAGTTGATGATGGTTGTATACATCTAAGGAAGTGGTTCCCTTAACTTCTCCATCTAGGAGGGTGGAGTTGGTGAACTCCACTATTTATGTTACTCAATCTATCCTATATTAGTTGTCTATTTTGAAGAGTACAACTCTTTAAGGAAATATGCAATTATTATTGTATTGTTACATTTTAAAATTACCAAGTACGAGTAGTCATTTTAACTTTAAATATATGTATTATTTAGTTAAGAAAATTTTGTAAAAGTTAAAGGGTAATTATGAAAAAATAGCCTTCAATTTGTTTTGAAAAGAGAATAGAATGATTAATTTAAACTAAGAGTGGCAATTCGTGTTCGCGTGTCGTAATCGTGTCGTATCAAGTTAAGGGTATTATACTAAACAACTCAACCCGAACACAACCCATTTAATAATCGTGTCAGAAATTCTCAACACTAACTTGACCTATTTATTAAACGGGTTACACGTGTAACCCGTTTAATAACCTATTTACAAAAAGAAAAAAATATATATTATTTAAATTATTAATAATACTCAATAAAATAATAAATACTAAAAAAAATATAAATTTTAATCAACCAAATTACTAAATAATTTCTAGTTTACAAAAGATTAAATTATAAGACACAAGTTTATATCGGAATTTTGAAGCTTAAATAGGAATTTATTTATGACATATATAGTTAAACGTGTATAAACGGGTTACACGGGTTGAACCGCTCAACCCAAACACGACACGATTAATTAAACGGATTAATCGTGTCGACCTGTTTCTGACCCGAACCTGTTTAAAGTCAACCCAAACCCATTTAACTCGTGTCGTGTTCAAGTCTTGTTGGCGGATCGTGTCAACTTTTGCCACCCCTAATTTAAACCCCAAGGGGTTGGCCTAGTTAGAAAATAGTTGAGCCCTGATGCCTCACGAAGTGTCAAGTTTCAGAATCGATTCTCCTCTAATTTGGGACATTTGTGAAAAGAAAGGTGGACTATTAATATGGGACACTATCGTGCATTATTGGGTGGTAGTTTTTCCTTTTTTACATTCCTGTTGCTGTGAGAATTCATATTGAAAGGGAGCTAAAGAATTTTTTTGGGGGTCATTATAATGAAGGGGGAAAGAGAATTACTGGTCTAGAGTTACTTCTCCTTGTAAGAAAGGTGGGTTTAGCATTAGGAAGATCAAATACATCGAGTATTCTACCAAATGTAAATTTCTTTAGGATATTCTACATAGAAAACCCAAGATATGGATTAAATGGTTTGAGAAGAAATATTTTTCGTAGGTTAATATTTGGAGACGTAGAACACACTCCAATGCATCTTCTATTTGAAAACATAGGCAGTGTCTTCTATGCAGCAGCACTTGTATGGTGTTTGATGTTGGAGAGGGCAGTAATTTTCTTTTATACAATTACCATTGGTGTGGTGGGAAATATTGTTGTTCAGAAGCAATAATTTAAAAAAAGTTTCAATAAAAAAATGAATTAAAAATGTGTGATTTCAAGCATATATATATTCTTTCATTTTCAGGGATGATGCATTCACCTAGTCTCCTAGATAAGAATAACGCATTTCATCTTTCAAAAATATATTATGCTTGAAGCATCATCCATACAACAAGAAGTACAAATAGCAGTTATATTGAACCACGATAATTAAGAATTATGTAAACGACATAATAATATCCACAATCATTGCATATTAATTATACATTAAAAGAATCTCTGCCTTCTCCGGGAACATAGTTATTTGGGTTGTTGAAGAAGGAACATTTTGTTTTTCTATTGAAGATACCACCATAGGTAGATGAGACCATGTCAACAAACAACGGAAATTGCAGTAAATCAAATAAGGTTACTGGGACGCTAGCAAGCAAAGTGACTGGAGCAGCAGCCCAGCTTATCCGTTCGCCAAGCACAATAACAAGAGTGGAACCAAAAGCTACCATCATGGCGGCAATAGACACGAAAAGGGCGGCAAGACCAATTATCAATCTTTTGGGTAATGCCTTGAGGAAGTCTTTTTCCTCAAAGCGTGAAGTGAGGATGCTTAGGAACATTAACACTGCAGTAGCTGAAGAAAATAGAGATAATGCATCTGATATAATGAAAACCATAAAGGAGTTACGCCCTAGGAACTTGGGGTTCCCTGACTCATCATCAGTACCACCTGGTAATGTGAAGGCTGCAGCAAACATAACAGTGACAATGAGAGTGGCCACAATCGTACATGATGTTGCTGTATCTCTCAACCATTTTTCTCCTTCTTTGACTAATTCAGAATGCCATTTTGAGAACAAAACTGGAGGTGTTTCTCCCTTTTCGTTAGCAAGAATTCTGTATGAAGATGGTACCATCCTCTCTACATCCTATCACGATTAATGAAACAGACTAATTAAATTAATAATAAAAGTTTTGAGTAATTAAGTACTCTCAATCTAGCTGTATAAAAGCTTGTTTAATTCCACTATTTATATTATGAGTCAACAGAAGGGCTCAAAGACATTACTAACATCGATTTAATATTTGAGGGATGATTCTGAAGTTAAAAAAAAAAAGAAGAAATTAACTAAGCTAGCTAGCTCCAAATGGATTGGAGTGCATATACACTATATATCTAGAAGTTTGAAGAATATATCGATGGATGATATATATATATATATAGAAAGTTAAGAATAAATTACCACCTTGTACCATTGTAGTTCTCTCTGCACTTTCATAGCTGCACCTGGGGCCTTAGTGAATACCTTCCAGAACGGTTGTTCTCCTTGTTGCAACATTTTTGAAGCTTCATCTGGAACTCCTATGATTTCAGAGGTTACCATCGGGCATGCAGCTATATGTAGTATGCTGTTCTTTTCTAACAGAGTTCCAAGGATTTTGTTTCTCTGTACAGATGTTAAACCATATATGAGGTTCCATATTTTCTCCTGACGGTAAGCAACAGCAATGTGAAATATGCTTCCGCTTTTCCTATTCCCCCATAACAAAGCAGGATTCGACCTCAGAACTTCCTCGACAAATTCAACATTCCCACATTTGATGGCTCTTTTTATTGCCTCAAAGTATACTCCAACATGTTTAGAATCGAAAGTCCATACTGGGGAACACATATGGCTGAGTAGTTCACTGGCATGCATGTTTTCTTCCTTCTTTTTTGATATATCTTCCTTAGTCACTGAAATTCTTATCCAAGTATAAATATTTTTTAAAAAGAAAGAGAGAGAGAAAAAAAGAAGTTTAAATAGAAAAAGTAATGGGAATTGGGAAAGCATGCCGTACTCTGCGTACCTATTGCTTGAAGAGCAACTAGAACGCAGAACATTAATGCTTTCAGAAAACGGATCACTGTTATAGATAAGAAAAAAACAGCAATTGAATTGTCTTTGCAGAACATATCTAATTAAAAATTAATACCTAAAACATATATATAATATACAATATTGGTTTTGAACCCTGCAGATCTCCTCCTCATACCTCAAGCTACCAAATATTTAAGACACCGGGGCATAAATCGCAGGTCATTCCACATCGTTGAAATTTTAGATACAGGGATTTTAACTTACGAGGACAATGCATGGAAACTAACAGAGAGGTGCATTTAGATGACAAAAAAAATGTTTGGCCCAAGTAGTCCTGCATATAAGCTAGGAACATTAGAATTAAGGGACTGAATTGAAAACATTCCTAAATAATTTCAGTCAGAATTTGCATCAAGTCACTGCACTGCACTGCACTGCAACTAATATATTCTCATACTTGGTGGAATCAGCACTTTCATCTTATATGTATATTGCTACTATATCCCTAGTAAAACAAATAACCCCCTAAACTATCAAAAAGTTGCAAATAAACCATTCCATATGAATTGACTTGTATACCTGTACAATGAAAAAACTATATAATAAATAATACATTTTGATAAATTTGATCGAAAAGAAAATTGTTAGGACAGTAATAAACTTGTTAGAGTAAATTTGAAGAGATTTGAATTTTTTAATGACTTCTAATCAAAAGTCATAAAATGACGTTTATACCCTAGTGTGACGGGTTTTCATCCTTTTTCTAATGGGTTAATTAACGCCAGGGGTAAGTTACAGGTTTCAGTAAAGATGAAGAATGTTTTCTTTTTTTTTTTTTAAAACGATATTGAAGATGCAAGAAACTCCTTCTATTCTTTCTCTCTCTAGAATTCTTACACCTCAACCCGAATCAAGATCCCCCTCCTCTTCATTCCAACTCCTATTTATAGATATTTACAAGATATTTACAAGATATTTACTAATTGCTGGACCTGGGCCTATTCCTCAGTAAGCCCTGGTCACTCTTGATGGGCTTACTCCCGCTCGGCCCATATGGCAGTGTCTTTTTATGGGCTGACCCAGCTGTTCGGACTGAAGGTTGTGTTTTGCGAGTCGGACCTGGCCCATGTCATCCAGGGCCTCCTCAACTGCCCCCATAATTGCCCCTTATTTAATAAGGGGTAATTATTGATGGCGTCTCATCATGACGCTGACGGCTCGAGATAACCACGTGGGGGAGCGAACGGTCAGATCCAGAATCAATGTTCCGGGGTTCGAGGGATTTCTTGCCTTCCCGACGCTTCGGCCCTCGGGCCCCCTTGCCTATATAATGCTCTCGAATTCCACTTCACTTCCCTTTACCGTCTCCATCATCAGCCAAATCTCCCTCTTTCTAGAACTGTGCTAAGCCTTTTCCGGTGAAATCCTTCGAGAGTCATTCTCCCAGCGATCTTGCAGTCCTCCGAGGTTAGTTTCGTTCTTTTTACTTTCGGCAGGCTTCCATTTTCCCTCTTTTAGATTCTTCTTGCACTTCCACCATGGTTGTAGATCTGGGTGTCCTTCGTATGAGACTTAGGCTTCCTGACAACATCGTAGTTAGGGTTTGCCCCCAAGACGTTAATATTACGACCGGCGCCGGCCTCCTGCCCGGCGAAGTCTTATTCACAAACCTTCAACTGAATGTTGTTAGGTTCCCTCTGCACCCTTTCTTTAGTTACGTCTTCAACAGATTGGGGATATCCCCTCTGCAGGTCAACCCCAACTTCTTTAGGATCATATCTGTTATGCTCTTATTGATGCGTGACAGAAATCTGGACCTTGACCTCATAGACCTCCTTCTGTGCTATAAGGTCAGTAAGATCCGTACTAACGAGCCCTTCTACCACCTCTACCCGTTCGAGAAGATGTCCATATGCACTGACACAATAAAATCTGAAAAGGGTTGGAGGGATAGCATAGTGGGTATTAGTGGGGCTTGGTCTTCGCCGGCTGCAGAGGATTACCCTATCCCGAGCGCCTTTGGTGTCTGCTCTGTCTCCTCCTATAAAAAATTCAAATCCCATAAACACGACTGCCCCTGTGAAACATGCGTTCCTCGTTTTTGCACTTACTTATGCCGCTCCTTGGGAATACCTTGTGATGACTTGAGCTACAGTGTTTGCAGGGATAGGACCAACTACTTGAAGAGATACGTTCTGAACGATATTCCTTCCTGCTCAGATCTCCTCACTTCAGACAACCTCTTCGCGCTCTCATCACTCGGCTACAATATGAGCAGACTGCAGATTCCCTCTTTTGGCAGGAGGAAAAATACTCCCCCAGTCATTCCTGCTGCTGGGGCGACCTCCTCTCCAGCGTCGGCTTCTTCTTCAGCCACCATATCTGACACTGCCCCGAGCGCAGTGGCTACTAACCCTGCTGCCAGCGCCCCTGCGGCCAACCAGAACGCGCCCTCCCCAGCTACCATAGCTCCTGCTGCTGCGGGGGGCGGTCGGGACAAAGAGCGAGGCAAAAGGCCTCATCCTGACAGTGAAATCGACCCTGAGGAGGAGCCTCTTATTAGAAGGACCCGAGTCTCTGGGCCGGGTACTCTCTTGCACCGAGCGATCAGAGCTCCTTCTCACTCTGGGCCTCCTGCAGCTGGTGGCTCTGCTTCTGCTTCAGGCCCCCCTTCTATCCCCAGCTTGCCGCCATGGGCCCCTCGGTACACTCGAACGGATGGGACGTTCGTGAAACCGAACGAGACCATGCTGAAGGATGGCCAGACCGCTATGGCCTACTACAGGAGCATGTGGACTCCGAAGGACATTGAGGCGGCAAAGGGCCTTTCCCAGAAGGACGTGTTCAGTCGCTTTCCCCAATCTGCTATGGAGGTGACTTTTATTTTCTAACTCATGAATTCTCTTATATTACTTGGTCTTGCCTTCTCCCGTTCTGACTATCGGTTTAACCGTTCTTATTGTGTACCTATGCAGACATTGTTTGGGATGATGGCCATGCAGAAGCAGGTGGAAATGGGGAACGCCAGGGCCCGAAAGTATTCTGACAGCCTGGAGGTGGCTAATAAAGAGAACGACCTCCTTGCCATGAAGAATACCGAGGCGCTGGTTCGGCTTGACAAAGCCGAGCAAGAGAGAGATGTCCTGAAAAAGGAGAATGATTCCCTTCAGGATGAGAAGGACGCCCTCCAGCTCGAGAAGAGCGTCTGGCAGACTGAGCAGGAATCACTCCGAGAAGAGAAGGCAGAACTCCAACGTCTTCTAGCTGATGAACAGTCTGCTCGGATGGCTTTTGAAAAAAGAGCTCTGGACGAGCGTACCGCTCTGATCGACGTTATCAGCAGAGTGGGTGGTGGGATGCTGGCCCTTCATGCTCGGTTCTCCAGGGTCGGTGCTCTTCGGTATGCTCAAGGATTCCGGGAAGGCTTCGCCGACCGGGTTCCGGATGAGGGACAGACCAGCTCCACTCCGGATGAGGTAGACAAGGATCTGGGGATCGAGCCTCTGGGGGTTTATGTCGACCCAGAACCCACCGAAGCGGAGCGTATATTTGATGAGTGCCAGGACATCGCATCCTCAAGGATCATCACAGCTCCTCCTGCCACTCTGCCACTGACCGCTCCCCAATCGTCGACCGTGGCTCCCTCTGTAGCCACTGCTGACGCTGAACCCCAGCCGAACGACTCAGTTATTCACCTGGATTCCCCACCTCATGAAGGTGAGGCGGCTGATGGGGCCGAGGAGGCGAGTCGGCAGGACCAGGATGGTGTTGGTACTGAGGCGTCTAGCTAGGGCTCCTTCGAATTCTTCCAGTTCATATCTTCTTGTAATGATGGACACCTCTCTTTTGTAAACTAAATGTTCAATATTAATGAAATGGCCGAACTCTTTTTCTCTATGTGGTGTGCTCTGTTCAACTTATCTTCAGTACATATATATCTTTTCTCTCTTTTTCTTTTTATATTAGTTTTGCTGTGTGTTTGTACGGCAAGTGCCTGGCGCTCGGCTAGAATGCCACTTGCCACTTGGCTTTAAATTTTTAGCAAGTGTCTGGCGTTCGGCTTATAGTGCCAGCTGCCACTTATCTTGCTTAAGTGCCTGGCGCTCGGCTAGAATGCCACTTGCCACTTGGCTTTCAATTTTTAGCAAGTGTCTGGCGTTCGGCTTATAGTGCCAGCTGCCACTTATCTTGCTTAAGTGCCTGGCGCTCGGCTAGAATGCCACTTGCCACTTGGCTTTCAATTTTTAGCAAGTGTCTGGCGTTCGGCTTATAGTGCCAGCTGCCACTTATCTTGCTTAAGTGCCTGGCGCTCGGCTAGAATGCCACTTGCCACTTGGCTTTCAATTTTTAGCAAGTGTCTGGCGTTCGGCTTATAGTGCCAGCTGCCACTTATCTTGCTTAAGTGCCTGGCGCTCGGCTAGAATGCCACTTGCCACTTGGCTTTCAATTTTTAGCAAGTGTCTGGCGTTCGGCTTATAGTGCCAACTGCCACTTATCTTGCTTAAGTGCCTGGCGCTCGGCTAGAATGCCACTTGCCACTTGGCTTTCAATTTTTATAGTAGACCATTGGAAAAGAAAATTCTTCTCTTCTTTTTTTGTAAACTCCGGTAACTTGCTCATTCATATGTATTTGATTAACAACAAATAACATCCAATTAAAACCAGAACTTAGCTTCTATTGATAGTACCTCTTCAGAGACGTGGCGTTCCAGGGCTTGTTGACCAACTTTCCCGCCATGGTTTCCAACGTATATGCCCCTTTGCCAATGACTTCTGCAATTCTGTACGGGCCTTCCCAGGGTGGCATCATTTTTTTGACCATCCCCACCTTTCTTTTCAGAACCAGATCGCCCGGGGCAAAATCCCTGTGTTTTACTCTCTTATTGTGACTATTCGCCAGCACTTGCTGATACGATGCTAGCCTTATAGCCGCTGCGTCCCTCCTTTCGTCTATCATGTCGAGGTTCAATCTTAACATCTTGTCGTTCTGATCTCGACTCCATGCTAAGCTTCTGATAGTGGGGACTAAATGCTCAACCGGTATAACTGCTTCGGTACCATACGCCATCGCGAACGGGCTCTCCCCAGTCGGCCGCCTTGGGGTGGTTCTGTAAGCCCATAGAACGTTCGGGAGTTCATCCAACCACTTCCCCTTATGATCTTCCAGCTTCTTCTTAATGCAGGCGAAAATGGTTCTGTTTGTGATTTCTGCTTGTCCGTTAGCCTGAGGATGACTTACTGCAGCCAACTTCTGGTTGATTCCATACTCCTCCAGCAGCTTTCTTACTTGCCTGCTGTCGAGGTTTGTGCCATTGTCCATGACTATTGTTCTGGGAACACCGAAGCGGCAGATAATGTTGTTCCAGATAAATCGTCTCACCTGAGTCTGAGTCACGCTAGGATACGGTTCTGCCTCCACCCATTTAGTGAAATAATCCGTGGCCAGTAACACATACTTGTTCTGAGCTCTTGCAGTTGGCAGAGGACCGACCACATCCATCCCCCATTGCGCGAAAGGCCACGGCGAGGCCATTACGTGCAATTCTTCAGGTGGTTGGTGGATCATTGGTCCATATCGTTGGCACTTATCGCACCTTCGAGAGAACTCCTCCGCATCTCTTGACATGTTTGGCCAAAAATACCCTTGTGTCATTGCTTTATGCGCTAACGATCTTCCCCCAGAATGATTGCCACACACACCCTCATGAATAGCTCGCAATACCTGCTGCGATTCCGCGGGGGTGACACATTTCAAGTATGGGCCAGAATAGGACCTTCTGTACAGCTGGTTCCGCACGATGGCGTACTTGGCAGCATTCTTTTTGAGTTTCCTAGCTTCATCCCTTTGCATAGGCAAAACGCCATCTCGAATATAGGTAATGATTGGGTCAATCCAACTCGGTTCATACGGTATGACGTTGACTTGCCAAGGGTCCGAGACCATCGGTTCTTCGAAAATGGACGGCTGGGTCACTATTCCCACTGGAATCACCCTCGCCAATGTTTCACCACAACTTGAAGCACTGCATGCTAAACGGTCCGCATCTGCATTCTGTTCCCTCGGCAACTGTATGAATTCAATCTTTGCAAAGTCCTTGGCTCTACGCAGAACGGCAGAACGGTATGCCCCCATCATGTCATCCTTGGTTGCGTACTCACCATTTACCTGCCGAACAATCAGCTGCGAGTCACTATACACTGTCAAACTTTTGATCTGTAGCTCTTTGGCCAACTTTAATCCATTTAGCAACGCCTCGTATTCCGCTTCATTATTGGTGGCTCGGAACTCAAGTCTGAGTGCTTGGCTCAAGGAAGTACCTTCTGGGGTTTGCAGTTTGATCCCAATCCCAGCCCCCGTCGGGTTAGAGGAGCCATCCACAAAAAGTTTCCAAGAGCCGCTTCTAAGGTCCTCTTCCGTATCTTCGGCATCACATTCTAGTAGGAAATCGGCCACCGCTTGCCCTTTAATAGCTGTTCTCGGCTCGTACGTTATGTCAAATGAACTCAACTCTATGGCCCACTTTGTCATTCTGCCCGAGAGCTCTGGCTTGTGCATGAGCGTTCTGATTGGGAAAGTTGTTAGAACAGCTATGGGGTGGGATTCAAAATAATGCCTTAACTTTCTTTTTGCATTTACAAGTGCAAGTACCACCCGTTCGGCCTTTGAGTATCTTTTTTCTGCCTCCATCAGTGTCTTGCTTACATAAAATACTGGGTATTGCACCCCTTCCTTGCAACGAATCAGAACGGCACTCGTCGCGACACCAGATACTCCAAGATATAGAAATAACTTTTCTTCCGGTTCTGGGGCTGACAGGACTGGCGGATTCTGCATATATTGCTTCAAATGAGTCAATGCCTGTCGTTGCTCATCCCCCCAGACCTGCCTTCCATGGCTCCGAATCGTGTCAAAGAATGGTTTGCAGTGGTCTGACAACTTTGAAATAAATCGACTTAATGCAGCTATTCGTCCTGTTAGGGCTTGCACCTCTCTGATCGTCTTTGGCTCGGCATTCTTAATCAAAGCCTCTGCTTGAGCGGGGCTAACTTCGATGCCCCTGCGGTTGACCACGTGTCCCAGAAACTGCCCGGAACTCACACCGAACGAGCACTTGGTCGGATTGAGCCTCATCCCATATCGCTTTAGTACATCAAATACCTCTTGCAGATGCTTCAGATGATCATCCTTTTTCCTACTTTTCACCACCATGTCATCAATATAGGCTTCGACAATCTTACCCATTTGATTCTTAAAAACTTTGCTGACAAGTCGTTGATAAGTTGCTCCCGCATTCTTTAATCCAAAAGGCATAACCTTGTAGCAGTACGTTCCTCGCTCGGTGACAAAAGAAGTTTTTTCTTCATCTGCGGGGTCCATAGGAATCTGATTATAACCTGAATATGCGTCCAGAAAGGTTAAACGCTCGTACCCCGTGGTGGCATCCACCATTTGATCAATCTTAGGCAACGGGAAACTGTCCTTCGGGCAGGCTTTGTTTAAATTGGTGAAATCAATGCATACGCGCCATTTCCCATTTTTCTTCTGCACCACAACGACGTTGGACAACCACTCAGGGTAGTGCACCTCTCTGATAAATCCCGCATCAAGCAGCCTATCAACTTCTTCCGTTATGATCTGATTACGTTCTGGAGCAAATCTTCGCTGCTTCTGTTTCACTGGTTTGAAATTAGGATTGACATTCAGGGAATGACAGGAGACGGAAGGACTAATTCCAGGCATGTCGAGATGACTCCATGCAAATACGTCGACATTGTGGGATAAGAAATCCACTAGCTCTTGCTGCTCTTCTCTGGTCAATCTTATACCCACTCTGGTAGTTCGTTCTGGCCTGGACTGATCGATCTGCACATCCAGAAGGGGCTCCTCGGTCAAGTCGGCTGACTCCTCCACCCTATTCTGCTCGAGTGGAGGTTCCTGTAATTGCTATCTGGGGCTTGTCGACCGGACGGGCGCCTTTCCCTTCCCTGCATGCTTTAGTGTGACGGAATAACACTCTTTGGCTGCGACCTGATCCCCCCGAATGTCTATCACTTTATCTCCATCGGGCCCGAGGCACCTCATGACCTGATGCAGAGTTGAGGGTACACCTCGGACTCTGTGAATCCATCCTCTTCCCATCAGGAGATTATACGAGGGGTGAATTTCCACAACCACAAAAGTTTCCATAAGAGCTCGCTCTGCAGCTTGAACTTCTACTTCCACCATCCCGACGGGTTCCACCCTCTTCCCATCGAACCCTAACAAGGGATTTCCGGTGGGCTTGAGCCTCTCTGGTTTAATGTCGAGCCTGTCAAATGTGTCCCTTGGCATAACATTCGCACTGCTCCCAGGATCGATCAGAACTCTGCGCACCAAGCACTCTGCCACTGTCAAACTGACTACCAACGGGTCGTCATGAGGCAGTTGGACACGCTGCAGGTCTGTCCAGTCGAACTTTATCTGCATTGACGGGCTCTGTTGGTGTAGAGTGGTCACATTGCCGACCCTTTTCTTCATCTGTGCCTGCCGCAGGCGCACCCGTAGCAGCTCATCTGGCTCTTCACTAGGCTCGGGTCGACCATGGATAGCATTGATTATACGAACTGGTTGCGAATTGTGGGAGCTCTGTTTATGACTCCTTTTTATTTGTTCCACTGGTCGATTCTGCTCCATCGCCGAGCCTTGAACATAACTCGCAAACTCCCCTCTAGCTATCAACATCTCCACTTGCCTCCTCAGGTTCCTGCATTCGTTAGTCTGATGTCCGAAATCAGAATGAAAAGCACAATG